ACGAGGGGACAACATGACGCGGGAATGTAATGTGTGTGTAGACAGTGAGTAATTGATCCGCAGTCAGAAGTATTATTGAGCACGTTCGTTGTTATAGCGTTTGTTTAGCGCGATTGTTGAAGTTGAGTGTATCGTAAAGTTGTATTCGGAAAGAATAAACCAGTTTTATTAAGTAAAGACTTGTGTCGTTAAAGTTTCGTCGGAAACGAAGTTACGGAAAGTTAATTAACAAACGGAGATGTAACAGTAGCATTTTTCACATTCTGGCATTTGTCTGTTTATCAGTTCGGAATTTTTCTCGCAAAAACAACGAGTATGCTACACAGTGGCACAATGTCGTTGTCATCACGCGACGACTGGCTTCGATTTCAACTTTAGTTTTTTTTATTTGCAAAGTATTTCACACAATCAGCACTTAACTCGCGTGTAATTTCCTAAAAAAATAACATTACACTAAACACAATTTCTGTGGGCTTTTTTGACTTATTTAGGTCTAAAATACGCATGCGCAATTCGTTCAAAGTCAAATAGTTATCACTTTGTGAACACGCATTCAGATGTTTCTGCATATTGAGCTAAGTTTGCCTTCATTACAACTTTACTTTATTTCGCAATAATTTAGGTTTGGTTCGTTTAATAGAATGTATAAACACCTTTTAGTTACTTTTTTCTTTATTACGGGTTTTATTCTTCGTTTTTGTGATTTTTTTTTCAACTCGTAAACCCATGTCATACACTAAACCCTCATAACTGTTTCATACTCTGTACACTATTATAAACACTATTATTTCTTTTATTGTTTAATTTACGTGTAGCTTTTATAAAGTTACGTACGTGTAGTTTTATTGAATACAGTTACGTCTACATGAGTTTGTTTGTGTGACTGCGTGAAATTCTTTTAAATAGACCAGGATTTATCGACCTAACACAGAATGCCTGAAAGAAAGTGTAGCTTAAATGACGTGCGTGAAAATAATAAAATAAGGAAAATTCAAGCGAAGGGCATGAAAGCTACGGCAAATGTTTTGTGGGTCGCGGCTAAAATAAAATGATATCGTTACCTTATTCCACGCATGTGACGGTGAAACATTTAGCTGGGTTTGAATATCGAGGAAAGCTAACGGAGGTCTATCTGCGCTAACTGTCCCTAATTTAGCAGCGATAGGCCACCCAGTGCCAACTCTTGGGCTACTCTTTTACCAACGAATAGCTGGATTGACCGTCGCATTATAAGCCCTTACAACTGGAAGAACGAGCATATTTCGTAACGGGGAGTCGAACCCGCGACCCTCAGATTGGAACCCGAGCGCTTTAACCACCAGGCTTACAACTTGTGGTTGATGTAACATCAAGTGGTGAATTTAACACACCACCTTCACCGGTTTTAGCATATCCCAAATCAGAAAAATTCAAAACTTTTGTAAATACTTAATATTAACTACTGATCAAAGCAAGCTACCTACGTAAGTCATAACTATACACCAACCCGGTAATGAGCATACCTAATTAAATATACTGTTCTTACTTATAAAGGTTAGAATGCACTATTTCATCACTTGGATACCCCCTCTTTTGGCGATGTTTTCGACTGTAATCCCAATAATATTTTATGAGAATTGGCCAGGTTAGGAGATTTAGGCTAGTCGTAAACCCACATACTAAGCTAAGAACGCAAATTCATCTTTGTAATAAAAATTAATACATTAAACATTCGAACCAATATTAGAATAGTATTGTTACGTCTCCGTTCGTTCGTTAATTAATTTTCCGTAAATTCGTTCCAACGAAACTTTAGCGACACAAGTCCTTTCTTAAATAAAACTGGTTTATTCTTTCCGAATACAACTTTACGATACACTTAATTTCAATAGTCGCTCTATAACAACACTATAAATCACGTCTCACGTGGCCAACAATAATTTATCCGCATACATTCAATTACTCATTACCTCTCCTTCGCTTCTTATATATACAAGACTACACTATATCTAGAAAGATCACGAGATTTAAGGAAAAGACGTGAAAGTTCGAGAATGACGTGGCGTGATACTAGTCACGTGACCTCGATGTCGTAACAGTATTAAAGAAAGCATGCAGTACATTTCACTTGAGGAACATAAACATTAGTTGTTAGCTTCATTAAACATCTACTATGTGAGATGTGTGTTATTTACGTGCTAGAATAACTTATAATCTTAGAAAGGTAAATAGAGAGCAAGATATTGTGTAAATACGTTAGAATCACAAAAACTAAGTGGAATTAATTACCTTTCTTCTCTTTTCTCAGCTCATCTGAAAGAAACAAATCAGATTGTTAACTAAATCAGTATTAACACTTTAACATTCTGAAGAGAAGTGTACACGTTATAAACGGCATTCATTCTTTGTCAACTTTAGAAACTTCAATTAATTTGAATATTCTGCTAATTAAACAGACGAATGTGGATACTTTGTTGATTTATTTGTACGTTTTATAAGAAAAGAAAAGAAGGAAATAGAAAGCGAAAGGAAAAAGTAACAACATAGTATAGTTCTTTAATTTCTAGAAAAGAACCGTTTGATATTCTAGTGTATTTATATTACAGAGATTTCATTCTCTAAGAAGTCCTCAAAAGGCTTCTTACTTCGAGACAAAATCTAGTTGTGAAAAAATGTAAGGACATAACAGATTAAACCTAATGATGAGTATTGAATAAAGGAAATATGTGTTCATCGTTTAGCGAAGAACGTATATAGGCATTCCACAAAGATAAATGTATGTAGGCCTAATACGTACGAATGTAATCAGGGGAGGATACGTGTATGTTATGAAGAATATTTTTTAGAAACATGTATTTTTTTAATATACTGATGCTCCACATTTATTGACTTCGCATATATCAAAATGATAATGAAAAATAATATCTATACATGAGTAGAAAGTTGCAAATAATCAGTGTGTAAAGACTGTGTACACTGTACGTTTCTACCCCTAAAATCGGAAACAGTATGAACTAAAATCTTAACTGTGAGTTGGTGTATTTTAGGCCAAGTAACTCTTCATATGTGGATTTGATAATATATGAGAGGGGAGGCCCGGCATGGCCAGGTGGTTAAGGCACTCGACTCGCAATCAGAGGGTCGCGGGTTCGAATCCCTGTCACACCAAACATGCTCGCCCTTTCAGCCGTGGGGGCGTTATAATGTGACGGTAAATCCCACTATTCGTTGGTAAAAGAGTAGCCCAAGAGTTGGCGGTGGGTGGTGATGACTAGCTGCCTTCTCCACTGCTAAATTAGGGACGGCTAGCGCAGATAGCCCTCGTGTAGCTTTGCGCGAAATTCAAAAACAAACAAACAAATAATATATGAGATAAAGCGTTGCCTTACTAAGCAAAACTTGTAATGATATGGTAGCATTTAAAAGCTAGTTATTATTATTAACCTCGGTCCAGTGAGGCCAAGTCGTTAGCAAGCCCGGAATGTGATATCCACACGCGTCCCGTTGCAGCAAAACCTCGCTCCACACTTCGAGGTCGTGGGTGCACAATAAGAGTAACGGTCAAATCTCACTATTTGATCGGATAAGAAGAATTGTCAGTGTTGCTGTTGACTAGCTGCTTTTCCCTTAGTCTATCCGTTCAGGTAGCGTTTTGTTTTCAATCCAACAATTAAGAAACAAAAAAGTATTAAATTGTGTACAACTATTCTAATGTTTTTTTATATTTTATGAATAAAAGAAAAAGGTTTTTCTTTTAACAGACTTTGTACTGTAGCGTTATTGTGACAAATAACAAAACAAAAATATGCCGCAGCAGGCGTTTTGTAACATTTGTTGATACAACAGTGAAATATAAGTATAACATCTTTATCCTTGTGGCATGTTGAATTCACGATAAGTTTTTCATGTATACAAGCCTTACAATATTAAAATCTAAAAAAGGTTGGTTTCATCACAGCCATTTTTTTTATTCCTAAAAATAGTATATTTTCTAAAAAATGTTCTGGCACACGAAATTTGGTTTATAGTTTGGGTTTTAACACATTTATCTTTAGACTACTTCTTTTGGCCATATGGTATTTATGTGATGTACATTTTTCTTCAAACCTTCAACTCACATATAGAATAAATTTAATAATCATGTAGGTTCTTAACCAGTTGCACACGACACCAAACTCAGAAGGAGTTCCAAACCACATGGAAAAAATATACTTCAACGTATATGACGATCACAACTAGCTTAAATCACCAATACACATAAAGTTATTCCCCCATTTATGCTTCACAAAGATCACAATGCTTTCCTGGTCTATTATTTAAACGGGACAGGGTAAAAGGGTTTTTAGGTAATTATATTTGACAATAAATTATTAAAGTGAGAACACAAAATCTTTGCACTGTCAGTGGTACTTGTGTGTTTTCTGTTGAGAAATAAGTCTCTTTTTTAATTAGTAACTAGCGAAAGAACCCGGCTTCACACGGGTTATTAGGTTGACACATTTTAGCAAGTTCATAACATGTATCATGAAAATAAAAATATCAATCGAATTTTAAACTTAAATGCTAAGCAACATGACATAAAAGCCGTTGTTGGAACGTATTGTTACCAAAACGCACTGGCCTTTCTCTATGTTAGAAGTTGTTACATAAGGAACCACTTCTTTTCTATGTGGTTTTTTCGCTAGCTTACCTCATTAAATAGATGCGCACGCGCATGTCTTGCTGTCTGTCTGTTTGTGATTTCTATCAGTTATCTTAAAAATATTATATTAGGTAGTTCAGTTTAAATCAATGTGTTAAATTGTTGTTCAGGTTAAAGTAATATACTAGATACTTGTTTCGTTCAAGATGTCAGTAAAATGCATAAGTACTACACTACAATATTTCTTAGAATTGCTTTACCGTCGGAAACTAAACGGATGTTTATTCCGTGCGACGGGTAAATTCTGTCTACTAGCAAGGCTCCTTCTTGAAACGTAATCTCTCGGAAACTCTCATTCACGAAATTAAACTTATTCTGAAATACGTCTTGTACAGAGGGCGTTGCTTGAGACGCCAAATAGTTGCGCACTTGAGTCAAAGTCACTGGATTATTATGTGGCAACCATACATGACCTATGCACTCTCGTGATCCATCTTCATCCAGCATCAGATAGACTAGATATTTCTTCTTATTCTGTTGTACTTCAGCTTCTTCTATTAAGTCATCTAGATCTTGGAAATAATATAAAAGTGAAAGAATGTAAGTGCAAAATGAAACCATTATTTGTGCTGGTTGAAATTAAGTATGATATTTAATTACAGAGTTATTTCATTACTTGCAATTGTATCGAGCGTAATGTAGTTCTCGACTAGCTTTACGTGAAATTCAAAATATAAACAAAGAATCTGATCGATGTTAATAAATTAGTGAAATACTGACACACAAGTCATTAGAACGCAGAAGAATGCCCCCCCCCCCCAGTGGCACAGCGTCATGTCTGCGGACTTACAACGCTAGAAACCAGGTTTCGATACCCGTGGTGGGCAGAGCACAGATAGCCCGTTGTGTAGATTTGTGCTTAACTTCAAACAAACAAGGAGAAGAATCCATCTTCGGGTTTTAGTTTACTCGATTCATTTTTCTTAAGATGCGGAATGAAGGCTTTTGTGATTTCATAAATAACAAAAATCCAAGTTACAACGTGAATATAAACGAACATAGGAGACAGATGCCACAACCGTTCCCTAATCTCAGGATAGATAAAATAAAATCACTTCTATTTAATGTAAAAACAATGAACCATTATACTTACTCTGTAGCTGTAGTCAAATATTTATCTTATTTACCCTAACAAAAGAAGTGCGATATGGAAAATTACAAACTAACTAATAGGATTTTTGGCTTACAATATCAGTTGAACTAATGCTTCACTGAGGGAAAAAATGTATATATTTCCCTTTAGTAATGGTGTATCTTAAATAATTTTGTTTATAAGACGACAGATGGCGAAACAAGTTTTAGAGTGATCACGAAAACTATAAAATGCTGTAAAAAGTACATTTCTGTAAATTTGATATAAATACTTATTTTTCATAAGGTATATTGTTGAATCAATTTAATAAAATAAAATAACCAAACAAATTTATTTAGTTAGGAAATAAAGGCTTATAAGAATTCGAAAGATGATCTATCTAAAAATGATTTTTTTTCGAAACAGCATAAACATTTTATAGTGATCTTTATCAATTCGTGTGATGCATACATTCAAAACGGTTTTGTTTTTCGTACTTGGAGTTTCGCTAACATATAAAAAAATGTAGTAAGACAGCACTCGATGGACAAGATTTGGTACAGCATAAGCTGAGATGAGTTTGATTGGACAAGATCTGGTATAGCTTGAGCTGAAAGGATTTTGATTGGACAAGATCTGGTATAGCTTAAGCTGATAGGATTTTGATTTGACAAGATCTGGTATAGCTTAAGCTGAAAGGCTTTTGATTGGACAAGACTTGGTAACGCTGAAAGTGAGAGGTATACTTACCATCTTCGTGCTCGCTGACCTCGCTTTTTTCCATTGTACCAGGAAGAGCTGGTAGGTCGACATCATCAGGAGAGTAGTTCCTGGAAACGTGAACGAAATAATAAAAAACTGGCAACGTTTATTTCATACCGAACTCTTTCAGAACAAGAATGACATAAAATAATCCAGTACTTCACTTGTAACAAAACTAGACATAAATTTGTACAGTTATACTTAATGAATCCTCATCTAAAAAGTCCATGGTGAATTTCTATCCACTTTTACTTCAAAACACTTAGCAAAAGATAAATTTTTAGCAGTTAACTTGTTCATTTCTCGTTTCATTTAATGCACCTTTGCTTTTCGTTAGAAAGATTCCGTTTACGGTGACATAATAAAACTGCTACTTTAAAATGCAGTATGTATATAAGATCTATAAATTTCGAAGAACATATGATTGTATTTGTTGTTACAGAAGCTTATATTCTACTCCTATACAGCACATTAAGGAGGAGGAGGGGGGATCCTTTAAAGGGACTCAATTTATGTAGTGACATAGCCTTTAAAAATATAATTTAATTATTAAGTAGAATGATCATAGTTTAAGTTTAGTTCAGTTGGTAGTGGTCCACATTTCTCTGCGTCGATTATAGAAAAACAAAACACTAAATATTTCTCACCGACTTAGTAAGTAAAAAGAAAATATTAGTGGCAACTAGTGGGGATGGATGAGTTATTATATATCTCTTAAATGTGGTTTTGAACCATCTTATAAGTGTTAAAAGTAAGGCCAATAGACCATAAACTTTAATCCTGGAGGAACGTCATAATAACAATCAGGGGTGTTGCATGTACATTGAGGTGTTCATCTGGATCCACTACACTCAGAAGAGTTATAAACACGTTAAATATGCCTGTAACAACTTCATATGAACTGTATCAACCACTTCTATCAAGTCAAGTAATTCACGAACCCATGGTGTTTTTTTAGTATTACGTCTATATGAAATGACATCTGTAGATGCATCAGTAGCCAGGCGTGTCCAATGGGTGGCGTATCTGGACTGTGAACCCCAGGATTTGCGGTTCACATCACGTTAACTAAAACCTGCTTTGCATTTTGGGACTGTGTGCATTATAAGAGTAACAGTCAAATCTTGATATTTGGTCTGAAAAGAGTGGTCCAAGAGTTGGCGATGGATATTGTCTACTAGCTGCCTTTCTTCTACGTTATCATTTTTAAAATAAGGAGGCAAACAGATAAACATGGTACATCAGTGAGGCAACGGGTTCAGTAACGACGACGAAAGATCACTAGCGCAGACAAACTGATACGACACACCCTTTATTCCTGTAAATGTTTTCTAGTCCCTCGGTGAGTCAGCGGTAAGTTTCACGACTTACAATGCTAAAATCCGGGGCTCGATTCTTCGGGGTAGGCAGAACGCAGGTAGCTCATTGTAAAGCTTTGCGCTAAACAAACAGACTTCTTTCGAAAAATATAGCAATATTTCAGACGTCGTGTTCCACAAGAAACTTTCCATAGTCTGGGCACACCTTTGTGTGACTTACTGATTATACTGCGTATAGGGAGGTAGTGAAAGTCATTTTTGTGCCAAGTTATCATAACTTGTGTCTCCCGTAACATGAATTCATTTCTTGTAGAAAACTTAATATAATATTTATGCTCTGTTCTTTTGGTTTTGACTAGATTTTAGCATTGGTTTTGACCATTACGGTATAACAAAAGTTGCATGTATTCTCGTAGTATGCAAGTACCAAGTATCTTACTCTCCTGATGTATATATCTTTGTACTGGATCTGGTTCAGGTCATACGTTAAATTCAGTTCAAGGTGTTACTTTTAGCAGCTTTGCCGGTCAAGGAACTCAACTACGTTTCGTGGGATAGTTGCATTGTATCCTGTATGGAGGACACTTGGTGATTGACACATGGTTCTTCATTTCTAACTGGCCAGCTATACAGAGAATGTTCCTTGTGAATACAGAGTCACATCAGTTTCGATCCAGCTTGAAAGGAAGACAGATCGTTTCAAGTTTGAAAATGTTATGACTTTCTAAGCAAGTCATGTCCTCGTTGTTTTTTCACATGCTTCTCGTGCATATTTTATTTCAACTTTATTTTACTTTAAAGTCTAGTTGTTTTTTTAAGTTCGTCTTCCATTTAATCTTTTTCATCTTCTTGACAATGCAATGGTCATTACTGTCACGATCTGCCCCCCTCCCACTGTTATTAATTTTAATAAAGTATTTTGTTTTTTTCAGACTTCAGCACCATGTCTTATTTCTGATTACTTAGTGTATAATACGTCCTTGCTATTACTGCATAACAGTTACTCAAAGTTAGTGTATGATATGTCCTCAACAATAATTAGTACATAGCGAGTAGTAGTCGATATTTAGTGTTTAATAAAAACTTACTAATAATTAGTTGATAATAAGTATTGATCAATATTTAATGTTTATTAACTACTTAAGGATATTTAGTGTATAAAATCTACCCACTAGTACTCACCGATAAAATAAGTATTTACATAATAAGTACATACCGACTGCTGTTTCTAGAATAACTAGGACTGTCAGTTCTGAAGTCATCTGTTTCTTCAATTGCTTCTTGAATCAGGTCATCAAGGTTTTCGTCCTCCTCCTCTAGTTGCTGTTGTGGTTCGACTTCTGAAATGGTTGCTGGAGAATTGGGGGGACGTGTGTTTTGCAAATTCGGGTCAAATCCTGGAGGATCGTCACAATAACATTCGGGGGTGTTGCACGTGCAGCGGGGATCTACTCTAGATGTAGGTCTACTCCCAAATGGAATGGAATAATTATCGACGTCATTACTGAATGACGTTCTTCTATTTGGTGAACCGTAAGTCTGCCGTATTGGAGAACTTCCAGTTTTGCCAGTATACATGGGATCTGGTCCGCCGTGAAAACTATTTTCGATTATATCGGAATTTCGAGAAATACCTGCACATTTTAGAATATTTCATGTTTTAGGGAAAATAATTATAATTCACTTTGAGACACGGTGTTAAGTTGAACAGTGAATATAAATGACTCAAGCTATAGCTACTACCATCAAAAACCCCTTTCGCAAACCTTTTATCAAAATGTTTTTGATTTCTTTCACAATAAATAATTTAATTAAGAAATTGGAATATATATTATTTAACACAGGATACAGAAGAGTCCTTTGTTCGATCTTAACGTTAACTAGTTCTAACGCGTCAAGGAATAATGCAAAGCTTAAGTTATTATCAAAGATGCTCAATCAGACTGTGATCCGGAGACTTTGCTGGCCACAAATGATGACTGAAGACACTGACATGCTTTTCGAACCAATTTCCCACAATACAGAGCAGAAAACTGTTGCATTGTCGTCTTGAAACAAGGGTATCGTATGTGTAGGGAATTTCTTTCTTTCTCTTCTAGTTGCTGTTATTGTTCGACTGTTATTTTATTTAAACTTCAGCACTATGTCTTATTACATATTTTCTTACATTAATTAAAACTACATTTTGTCCATCAGGGTTAATACGCTACATTA